CTTAGAGACAGACAACCAAGCACACTCACATTCACACCTACAGACAATTTAGAATCACCAATTAACCTCAACATGTTTTGGGACCTTGTGGAGGAAGCTGGAGAACCCGGAGAGAACCCACACTGCACGGGGAGAACATGCAAACTCCATGCAGAAAGATCCTGGGTGTCCTCACTGGGAGGCAAACTGGGAACCTTCTTACTGCGAGGCAACGGTGCTAACCACTGTTCCACCTTGCAGCCCCAATTCATTTCAATTCAATTTTATGTGTATAGCGGAGTTTGCAACATATGCCATCTCACAGCACTTAACAAGTGAGCAAATGTATGTGTTGGTGGAGATGACGATGACATTTGAAGACAGATAAAAGAAGAGAGGCAACGCTGTTGATATGAAGTATTTAACCTGAGTAAGTCATTACTTGCTGTTAAGAAAGGAGGTCTTAGTAGTTTGAATAAAATCAAAATACTAGTTTTTGTTAAATGGTTGTTAAATGAATGTCTCTAAAGGAGACAAGACTCTTACTAGAATGTATTTTATATATTATAAATAGACTGAATTAATATCTCATTGAGAGTTTTCAAGACTCATTAGTATTTTGTGAAATGAGGAATTTAATATGATTTTAATGTGACACCGAGCAGCTCAGTCTACGCGCATTTCTCAATAAAAGTCATCTTAAATGTAATCTCAAAGGTGTAAAATATGTAAATGATAGATCTGAGAGCTCACAGTAACCAGAGATAAAACACAACATATGATACAAAATTCAACAATAAAAATACATGTGGTCTTACTCAACACTTTTTAAACACAAGCCTGAAAAGATGGGTTGTAAGGTTTTAGCTAAGGCTGTCTATTTCATGTGATGCTCTGACCTTCCTACAGCTCTATTATGAGGAACATTAGGAGAACAGAAATGGAGGATCTTAGGGATCTACAAGAGACTCACCTAACCAACAGATCAGATAAATAATCAGTATTACCAGATGTAAAAACTAAAAGCAAACTCCTAAAATGAACNTCATTCACAGGGACGTTTATACTATTCAAAACTATTTCTGACACGAGTTTTGAGTCCCAATCTGATACCATCCATCCATCCATCCATCCATCCATTATCCATTATCCATACACCGCTTAATCCTCACTGGAGTCATGGGGGGGCTGGAGTCTATCCCAGCTGACTTAGGGTGAAGACAAGTACACTTAGAGACAGACAACCAAGCACACTCACATTCACACCTATGGACCATTTAGAATCACCAATTAACCTCAACATGTTTTTGGACTGTGTGGGATGACGCCGGAGAACCCAGAGAGAACCCACACTGCACGGGGAGAACATGCAAGCTCCACGTAGAAAGATCCCGGGTGTCCTCACTGGGACACGAACCGGCGACCTTCTTGCTGCGAGGCAAGAGTGCTAACCACTGAGCCACCTTGCAGCCCCCAATCCGATACAGTTTTCCTTAATAATACACATTTCAAGTATCATAGCTCAGCTGTAGTACCTGGTTGCACCACCAGATGGAGGCTCTTACTGTTTAATACTGTAGCGACCAGAGGGGGAAGGCAGGTCCCTGTTGGAGCAGAGAGCATAGTCCAGCTGGTAAAGGGAGACCATGACAAAGGCTTCTGTGATGCTTAGTGATGTCCAGCCAGGACACCAATGTGACATCAAGGCGGGGTTAACTAGAATAGCATTCCTGAATCACTATAGCAAATAAAACGTGTTATATTACCAAATTATTCCTTGAAGTTCCAAACAGTTTCTGGATGATTTTTGCACTTGTCACATATTTCAAATGTTCACTGCAGTCTAAAGTCCTGCACCTCTATGGAAGCAGCACAACCATGACTATTGGTAGAGAGAATTACAAATGATTTTGTGCAGTATGACGCGGTTATAATGGAATCATAAACAAAAATAAAAAATGCAAGTTGAATTTCTTCATCCATCATGCAGCTGGACATGGTGGAGCATTTGGCAGCCATAGAACCAGATCCTGTCATTTGGAGTTGGTTTGAGACCAACATTAAGACAGAAAAAAATGTGATTAGACTTGCACTTGCCAGGTTGACTCCAAGGTGTTTGTGATGTGTGTATGTGCTGGATGGGTAAGTTATCAACATGTTCTGAAACCAACAAAAACATCTATAACTGCAGGTTTAAATTAGTCTGACAAGCCGATCAGAAAGAAATTTGGTTTCACAATGTTCAGACAGTAAGCCTTCTTAGTTTTGGTCTGAGACAAGTTTGTTTAGCTTTTTTTTAAAGTTGTATTACATATTTAAAATGTTCCTCCTTTTATGAGTGGTTTAATCAGATGTACTACAAACCCACAACAGGGAAATTCTTCATAAAAACCCCGACCTCTGCAGGCTGCAAAATCTATTTCGCTACTTCACTATTTTAGTCTTTCTAATCATTTTAATCAGCCCTCAGTACGTAAGTGTTTGATGACTGACCCAGAGTCATAACAGCTGACAGTAGTCAACATGTTCTTGTGTTTTGTTTTTGTCAACAGCGATGAAGAGCAGCCTGAGGAGGCCATCGGGGCAAAGCTCCTCCTCATCCTCCTCGTTGCCCGTCAGGAGGACAGAGGAGAGGTCGGCAGCTGCCAGCAAGAGCCAAGAAAAATCACCAAACCAGGAACACTTCGACAACGGCTCTCCGGTATGAAGTAGTGCTGCTCTCTTTTACTTTATTTAACAAATTATACACACGCTGCAGTTTTTTTTTAAAATGATGCAGCAGCTTTACTGACAGATACCAAAAAGGAAAATGCATCACTGGTTTTGAAGCATAAATTTAAGATACATTTTAAAATCTGTCAGAAGTTTATTTTTTTTTAGAATACACAACATATTTAGCATTGTCTTATAATGGGAGAAATAAAAACAAATGCCATGCATGTTGTCAGTGCCCCCTGTACAATGCCACAAAAAGGGAAAACTTAAAAAAAAAGAAAAATAAGCGATTACAGCTTTTTTCCAAAGTGTGAAAATGGGAGCTCCACATAGTATAGATGAGCTGTTTGATTCAGCCCATTTACATTTTAACAACCTACAAACTATTCTGCATGTAAACTCTAGGAAGATGTTTCAGCGCCCTTAATTATTTTCGTCACACTAATTGCTCCAGTAAATGGTGTAAATTTGAAAATCTGACTATTTTTTTTTCTTATTAGACACTTTGTGGCTCTGGTAAATACTGTCATTTTTATGTTTTATTTTTATTTTTTAAAATAGAAAACATGCCTTTCTAACTTGCTTGGCAGGTGGAATTCACAGGGTTAACCTTCTTATGCTGTTCACAGTTGCAAACATGATTTGGATGTTCTAGTCTCCATCACAGTGATCAGTCACTACACCCAGGTTTAATAATTCATGGTGTTTTTTTCACATCTTTATCTGATAGAAACGAGATTCTCCACAAAAACAACCTGAGTGCAATGAAGCCAATGAGCCAGAATCAGCCCAGGAGGTCATAACACACCCTGATGGCAAGGTGAGGAAGTGCCACAGACATGAGATTCTACAATATTGACAAGTCCGTTAATTACTGATGTAACTGGTTGGATCATTCAGAGGAACGCATGAATCCTCTATTTTCTGTCATTCATGTAGCTGGTTTCTAATTGTGTCAGGATAACAGTAGATACTGCACTGCCAAGTTGGATTATTCTGGAGAGTCTGGCCATATTTTAAGATGAGAATGCTTCCTGTGATACTGTGTTGTTACTCGTTGTTTGTTTCTGATGGAGCTGTGGTTCTGATCCTTTCAGATAGAGAAGGTTCTGGTCAGTGGCGATCGCCTTATTGTCTTCCCCAACGGGACGAGGAAGGAGGTTTCCGCTGACGGACTGAC